TCCCCAGCCAGCATGCTGGCTGGGGAATTCTGGGAATTGAAGTCCACGCATCTTAAAGCTGCCAAGATTGAGAAACACTGAAGTAGACCATGGGTCAATTAACTATGAGCAAGTCCATCATCCAGACTCAGACTGGATTGGCTTCTGCTGAGATTTCCTGAAACAATCAAATCTGCTTTGGTAAAGGGTTGGATGGAACGATCTCTAAAAACTAAGGAGCAAATCTATATCTACAAAGTTTTCTTGGCAACAACATGGAAATGGATTGGTATTGCCTTCTTCCTCGACGTTCTTGTGGCTTTCCAATGTAGCCTACGTCTGGGAGAACTCCTGGTGGTCTCCCATTCCATACTAATCCAATAGTCCCATCCAATCCTAAACTTAACCCTTCTTGATACCAGCCAAGATAAGCTCTCCCTATATTTCTAAGTAATGATGTCAGAGGGAATTGGCAGGCAAAAACAGTCCTCTCCGTCTGCACTGTTGTTATTGCTGTTGCGATGATCTTAAGTCATGCAGGCGCGTGCACGAATGATGGCATTCATTCACAAAACAGAACTGACAGTCACCTGAATGCAGAGCCACCCAATCGTTGGGGGGAGGGATTAGGAGCTCCTCCCCCCGTCAATCACCCACCTCCCTCCTTTTTGTTCATCTCTGAGATGGGGGATGCCTTTAAGCAGCCCCTTTGGGAAACCAAACTCATCCGAAAGGCATTGGGGTGGGGGGAGATCTGCAAGCTGTTGCCATGGTGCCCAGATGATTGCTTTTAGCCCATAATTAGCGGGCAGACGCAGCAAATCACAAGGTGTACGAGCAGGATGGCGGAAGTGGTGCTTCAGTTTATTGGCTGTGGGGGGGCGTTGGGGGGGGCTGGCTGTTTGTTTTCCTACCTGCCTCCTGCAGCGCAGGTGAGGGGGAGTGAAGCTCAAGCCATTGTTTGGGAGAGGAAAAAGAGAGCTGCAAAGACCGGGAAAGGCATTTGCAGGTTGAATCCGAGAAAGGAAGATGTAAAAGATAATCCCAGCAACACCCTCCCCCCCCCTTTTTTTTAACCATCAATGGCTGGAAGGTTAAAGCAAGCCCTTTCAGTTTGGTTTCCAACTTCTAAGGTGTTTCTTTGGCACAGCAGGACAGAGAGTCCAGCGCCCTTCCAAATCCAAAGAATTTCGACCACCTTTTTCGGAACTGTACGGCCCTGAAGACTGGGGTTGGTTTGATTTGGGGGCGCGAAGGTTGGCTTCTGGTGCCAAGGAATGGCATGTCTGCTTCCCTGGCAGAGTCACGTGGCTGTCCTCCTTCGAATTCATGGGACGGGAACGAAGGGCGTTGCAGGGAGGACTGTTTGCAGATGGCAGGTGACCGAGGAGCAGAAACAGTCTTGCAATGGCGTCTCTCTCTCTCTCTCTCTCTCTCCTTTTTTTGCTTTACCGGTGTGGTTGTGCTTCACTAACACCGAGTCCCACCTTGGAGTGATGCTGTGTTGGAATGCAGCGTCACTCCAGGGACATTGTGTCTCCATTTAAGAAACAGGGAAAAGGGGGAAAAAAACCCCCACTAATGCAATTAACACCATCCCCACCCCCGAGGGGCCCCGATTTTTACTGTTCTTCCATCCCCAAATTTCTCCTGATGCATAGTTCTCAACTGAGGACTTTGGGGGCTTCCCAAGAAGAAAGGGAAGTTTGTCTGTTTTACAACAGTAAGTGCAAAATTAGGATCTGGCATATCAATTGACATTTTCAGCGCTATTAAAAAAAAGTCAAGTTTCTAGCCCTCAAGGCTGGGAAAACAGGCATAAAAGGCTGTGAGCCGTTTGTGGCGAAATCACGGAAGCCGAGGGGATGGGAGTTGCAGTGAAGCAGGATTTCCAGCAATCCGAAGGCATGGCCTTAAACGGAAAGGGAAACGTGGGTAAGTGGGAAGAGAATGAGAGGAAAGACAGAGAGAACACAATGTCTGCATATGTAGAGCCAAGGGCTTTGGCAAACCTTGTTTTGGTGGCTCTGCTGCTGTTTTGTAAATACCTATAGCCTTGGGCACATACCTCAACATTTATTTCTGCAAAGAGAGGAGAAAAAAACATTCTTTCACCAAGAGCCCTTGGGCCATGCACGATTACTAAGAAATGGCTTTGCTCCAGGGAGGTGTTTTCTTTGCAACGATTTAAACTCTCTTGCAGAGAGAAGTTTCAGCCACTGAATCAGTTCCACGTGGAGAAGACCCTGATTCTGTGTTCAGCACAATCTGCCCAATGCAGGGGGGATTGCTACAGTTATAGAGAAGAAGAAGGAAACATTGGGGTACCAATTGCTAATCCTCGTAGCTCCTCCTTGCTAGCCTCTAAATTGTTTCTTGGGAAAAATGGATACCGGCTGAGTTCATGTAACATAGAAATCCCCAAACCAGTCACCCGCAGAATGGCTTAGCTCAATATGTGTGTGTGGTCATGGATATTTGCAACCGTGGTTGATGGCTTAACAATGTACGCAGATTCCACCAATTGTGGTTTGTTTAATACATTGTGGTTAAAGAAACCTTAGCTCAGTGTGATGTGCAGATCAGGTCCCTGAGTCAAAGCATCCCTCTGACTCAACATGGCCTTCTATTCTTGAGTAAGGCCTTTCCCATCATCTCCTACCTGATTCTGCAGTTGGAGAAATTAGCAGCTGAAGATGGGATTCTGCACGGCGGTTGGTCCTCTGTGTATACATCCGAAGAGGTGGCAACCTGTTGCATGTAAAATGCCGGTATCAGAAGTCTAACCTTGGTTTCGGTTAAATAGGAAGACAAACCTTGGGAGTGTGGGAAGACGTGAACCCCCTCCTATGTATTTCGGTAGGTGGGTGTAACTTTTAAAGTAGTTGCACGTTTGCTTAAGCTAAGATCCTCAGACCTCGTCTCAATACGGTCAGGATGTGTGCAGAAGGCCACGATTTGAACCAAAGCTGAAATTCTCATATCTGTGGGAGCAGTTTACATATCAAGAATGCTTCTTTATGGGCCCCCATGGATGCCTGCATTAGACCATACCCCATGGCACTTTCAGCGAGGGTATAATTGCCAATTTGGAGCCTTGGAGTCAAATCTGCTGGTAATGAGCACTGCCAATGGAGAGAAAAGGCGGGCGGGTCATCCATGGTGCGCAGTCTTGATTCAAGGTTTCACAGGTTTTCGCTGTGGATGCTCAGAGTCGCCTGGGTCAAGAAGATGCTCTTGGTTGATATAATCCGCAGCTGGCAGCCCGGCAGCCCAAACTGCCTTCTAAAGCAGACCTCTTGGCTCCCCATGGCCCGGGTGGATGATGGGAGGAGGTCTCCGGAAGCGTGAGTGGAAATGAACTCAGGAGCCCCTGCTGCCTTCTTCAAGTAACACCCCCTTTCGCCCAGAATGCTTGCAGGGTTCAAATGGTGTTTTGGGAAGTCAAAGTCAGGGCCCAGCCCTGGGCAGCTTGGAATGTGCCCGCCTCGACGCCCGCTCCCTCTTCCCAGGGTCTTGTCGCTAGGAAGGAAGACGGGACGAGGCAGTGACAATGAGCAAGCGGGAGTTGACTCAAACATCCAAGTCCTGGTGATTTCCTTTCTCCGGCCAGCGGCCGGTGAGCGTGGGGGAGGGCGTTGAGCAGGCTCCAGCAGGGAACAAAAGGGGCAACTCCCTCCCGGCTCCCTGGCTCAGAGGTGGTAGAGTCACCCGTCTAGGAGAGTGGCTGCTCGGGCAGATAGTTCCCTGGGGCTGTTAGGCAAGACTGGAAGGCGGTAGGTTGCATTGACCGAGCTGTGGTGAAATAGTTGCAGCCTTGGAGTTTCTCGTGTGCGTGCCTTGCTGGACCCTGGAGACCATCGGTCGCTGCTTGTGGTGTCAGTGGTTATGGAGAAGGCAGGATCCTTACTGGTTGCTTTGCACAGAGCAGGTAAGAGACTGCTTAGTGTGTTGGGATCCTGGGTCCTCTTAAACTGTAGTTCTGTTGCGATTTCCTGAATTGATCACATGGGCTTGGTTCACACAACATTACTAAGCCCAAGCCCACAAACCACATTACAGCATAACACACACGGTTGGCTTGGAGGCTGAAAAGCAATCGCTCCCCTGGATGTTTTTCCTATAAGGTTTCCTACCCAAAGACTGAATGCAAAGTTAAGTTAAAACATATTTCTCTGCTTTTCTACTTAAATACTACACCGCGTAGTGTAAATGTGTGACTTTTCCTCTGGGCAGATTCCAAGTTACTAAATCTGCGCAGTCCAGACTTAAACCCATGGGCCGGTTTATGTGATTTTTTTTAATGGCCTAAGTGAAACGTGCAGAGGCCTAAAATCAATTGTTCTGAAGCAAGAGACACAGGGATTTTTCTACATGTGTTCTGTAGAAAACATTATTTTTAGAAGATTTATGACCTCCTGTATGGAAGGGGAAGAGGAAAGCCGCTTTACAGGAGGTGCTTTCGATGAACGTTAAAATATATATATATTCTTTTTGAAAAGTAGATGAAAACTCTGCATGTTGGATTTTTAAAAAATAATACCCTGTTCCAGACCATTGTCTTAGGTACAGCTGTGTAGCGCAGTGATTAAAGTGTTGAAAAAGGACTGGAATAAGCCAGAGTTACGCCCATCCTCAGCCAAAATACCCCTTGGATGACTTTGGGTGAGGCACTGTCTCTTGGCCCAGGCTACCTTGCAAGGTTGTTGTTGGGACAGAATCCTCCTCGGTGTGGGTTGCTTTGAGCTGGCAAAGAAAGATAAAGGCAATGAAAAAACGCAATGCAATACAGTAAGATAAGATTCTCTGAATGGGCCAGTTTGGGCTGTTAGGAAAATGCCCATTTACTCTTTTCAGTGGTGGATGATCAAAGACTCAAGGAAGTGGGGACTTAGACCATCCCTTCGCTTGTAGTTAAGAGCAGAGCAAAGCCCAAAGTTATTTGAAATCTCCTTGGAGACAGCCTCAGGATTTCAGAATCTGCCTGTGACAAAAACCCTGGGATTTTTCCAGCCCGGAAGTTAATTGTGTGTTTTTATACCTGTGTCTGGCAGAGAGTTTGTAACGTACACCTGTGTTATGTTGCAAAACCCCGATTAATGCTTTCCCAGTACAAATTCTCCGTTTCTGTATAGCTGAGATGTTTACAATGTGCGGTATGTAGTGTTGTGTGCATTTCTTCTACATCAGTTTGTTTAGCTTGTCGCGGTAACTCTTGTGTGTTCTCCAGACTGGTAGACAGAACATCAGTAAACGAAAGGTGAACAACTTTCGGACCACAGAAGGAGCCTTCCTAGTAGAAAAAATGAGATCTGCTGCTAGGGAGAAGGAAAATGGGTATTATAACAAGAGGGAAAGCGTGGGTGTTGGTGAAAAAGTGGATAATCCTTTTCTTTTGTTCCGACTCCCCACCGGCTTGTTTCAGCATCACCTGTCAAATGCCCCCTAGATTCCCCAAAAATAATATAATCCTCAGTAGAGCACAGGATTGTCCATCAAAGTCACTGTTCTGCCTGTGAGTTTTGGTCTCAGCAGCAGGTAGAAATAGCTGGCCAACTTTGTATAGCAATGTTTCTCAACCTTTGCCACTTTAAGATGGGTGGACTTCAACTCCCAGAATTCCCCCCCCCCACCCTCCTCCTCGGGAATTTTTGGTGGTTGAAGTCACCCCTCTTTAAACTGGAAAAGGTGAGGAACAAAGGGCAA